CCCTTTTCATTTGCAAATGAAAATGATGTGATGTGTTCTTCTTCTGTGATGTGATTAGCCACATTGGCTCCTTTGTTTTCTGTAAAAGGTAACCACCTAAAGCGAACCTGTGCATAGTAAATGAGGACCATCATGTAATGTACCAAGAAACCCAATAAAGGCCAGTCATGGCAAGGGCCAAGGCTTTTGCTCCCCTTGAGAGAAAAGCCATGCTGTCCCTTTTCCTCCACCAGACTCGGTAGTCCATGTGAATGTCTCATTTCATCCATAATGATGTGGACACTGCGGGCCGGTGTCTGCATCAGTGGAACAGCAAATCTCTCTCTTTCTCGCTCTCTCTCCCTCCCTCCTCCTTTTCTCTGTCTCTAAAATCAATAAATTTAAAAAAATTCAAATAGTCATGTGATGGGGATACATTTTGAAACATGCATCATCAGGCAATTTTGACATTCGAACATCACAGAGCGCCCTTACACACACCTAGATGGCACAACCCACTACACACCTAGGCTGCAGGTATAGCCTATTGCTCCTAGGCTTCAGGTTAGTATGGTATGTTACTATACAAAATGACATGAGATAAATCAAGCATGAGAGAAACTGATGCAGTTTAGAGAAGCAGTAAACACAAGATATACGAGGCTGCTGCCAGCATAACACAGCATACAAACTTTTTTTGAATAAGTAGATTCTAAAATGACTAGTACAGTAAGTATATAATCCAGTAATGTAGTTGTTTTATCATTATCAAGTATTATGGACTGTACATAATTGTATTGCTATACTTTTAAACAACTGGCAGGGCAGGTTCGTTTACACCAGCATCACCACAAACACGTGAGTAATGCATTGTGCTATGATACTATGATGGCTGTGATGTCACTAGGCGATTGGAATTTTTTAGCTCCATTATGGGGCTGAAAAATTCTATGGGACCACTGTCCTATGGGACCTATGGGACCACTGTCGTATGTGCAATTTGTCATTGACTAAAATGTCATTATGTGGCACATGACCGTTTTTGTAAAAATTCATTTGTAAGACAACTGGCTAACTTTGACCACTAACTGAATATTTTTAGTAAGGAATTATTAATATTTTAAGGTATAACAAAGTTGTTATAGTTATGTTTTTTAAAAGTCCTTATCCCTTGAGTTATATGTTGAAATATTTATGGACAAAAGGATAGGCTGTCTTGGATTTATTTTAATGTAATTCTTTGGAATTGCAGAGAGGAAGTTGGGGATGAGGCAGATTGGTCTTATTTATGTTGATAACAATTGGAGGTGGGTGATGGGTACATGGTGGTCATCATACTATTTTGGTTTGGAAATTTTCATGATAAAAAGTAATTTTACAGGAGATATTGAAAGACTAAAGACTTGTGTCCTTGAAAGACTAAAAAACAAAGTTTACTTTGGAATCTATTTTAACTGGCAAATCTTTGCTTAAAGAATGAATGAGCCCTGGCTGGTGTGGCTCAGTGGATTGAGCACAGGCCTACAAAGAAAGGGGTCGCTTGTTTGATTCCCAGTCAGGGCACATGCCTGGGTAGAGGGCCAGGCCTCCAGTAGGGGGCATGTGAGAGGCAACCACACATTGATGTTTCTTTCCCTTTCTCCCTCCTTTCCCCTCCAAATACAAATAAAATCTTATTTAAAAAGAAAAAAAAAGAATGAATGAGACTCCAATTTTGGTGAATAACTTTCAGAATAGCTGAGACTGATGTGCTTAACAGTCAAACATGAGACCAGGGTTTCCAGTTTTATTATCCTATAATTTTGATATCCCTTTTAGTTGTAGACATTTTAACAGGCTCTGCTTGCATCTGAGCGGGGTTGCCACAGACACCTGTAGAATCAGCAGGAGTTGCTGCTCACCACTAGAGGCACTCTCTGACTATAAGAGGGCGCCTTCTGCACTCAAGTTGTGTGAACATGTTGAAGAGGGAATGGTAAGGTTAGCAGAAAGACCATTTTATGCCTAAAATATGTTCAGATTCAAGTCCCATCAGGAAGAAATTTTCTCCTTAACAAGCTTAAGGGAGGGCTCAGCCTGGGTCCTTAAACTGAGAATCCCCTTGGCCCATTGCCTGGCCTTCCACTGTGGCCACTCCCCATGGTGACAGGAGCAGTAGGTAAATGATGGTTTGGGGGTCCTGAGTTGACTGACAGTAATCTCAACTCTTTCTGCAATCTAAACATAGATTAAGACCTGCATTTACACCTACAACCGGAACTGCGTCGCTGGGCCCGTTGGGGCCACACAGGGGTGTGCATCTCCAGATCAAAGCTTCTAGGGTTTCTAGGATGAGGGGTAGGTGTGGGGTGTGAAGATGCAGAAGGCAAAGATGCATTCCTGATAAATCAGAACTATGGTCTGCCTGGCTGGAGCCCAAGTGGGAAATGAGTTGGAGAAATCAGACCAGGTCATACAGGCTTCTGTGCCACATGAAGATACTACCCTGAGGCAAGTGAAAGACAGTTGGTGGGATTCCCATGAAACAGTAAAAGGTTTATAGGTTTGCCTGTTGCTGTGTCATGGGAATCTGGCTGGTTGATTGGGTAGGTTAACTAGGGTAAGCAGGGTAAAATCCCAGGCCCTGACATCTTTGTGGAACATACAGGAAAAAAATAAATCCAGCCTTCTCACTCCCATTCTCACCATTTAGCTATACTCATTGTTTAAATTGTGCTGCATTTTGTTTTTAACGTGTGCATGAGTTTGTTATACAAAACTGACATCACTCCTATATTACAATATATATGTTGTGGTGATTTTTTTCACTTAAAGTATCATGAATCTTAAAAAACAAAACAAAAAAAGCAACTCTTAAAGAATCCTCAATTCCTTCACTTCAATTACTCGTCCTATTATAAAAGGTTCTGCCCTGACCAGCATGGCTCAATTGGTTGGGCATCATCCTGCAAAAGCAAAAGGTTGCTGGTTGGTTTCATAGTCAGGGTACATGCCTGGGTTACAGGTTCTGTGCCCAGTTAAGGGTGTGTGAGGCAACCAGACCAGGCAACTGATTTGTTTCTCTCCCTCTCATTCTCCTATCTCCTCTAAAAATAAATAAATCTCAAAATAATTTTTTAAAAAATAAATGGTTTTTTTTTTTTTAAATTACCATCTCAATTCTCTCCTTTCCTCTCCAACTGATATCACCATCATCCTGGATCCAATTCACCTTACACCTAAATTATCATGATCTAACTGGTCTGCTTTTTCTATCTACTTTATGATAAACTTTGTCAGCGAGTCTCTAAATTACTGTTTTGCTCATGTCCTACTTAGGACAAAAACATTCTATGGCTCTCCATTGCCTACAATTTGCTTTTATTTATTTAATTTTATTTTAGAAAGAGAAGGGAGGAAGTGAGGGAAAAATCAATGTGAGAAGTTGATTGGTTGCCTCCCACCAACTTCTGCAATCAGTTACCTAACTGGTTGCCTCTCACACACCCCAACTGGGGACTGAACCTGCAACCCAGGCATGTGCCCTGACTGGGAATCGAATAGGCAACCTTCCAGTTTGCAGGACAATGCCCAACTGAGCCACACCAGCCAGGGCATATTGCCTACAGTTTAAAATGAAAGCTCCTCAGCCTAGCGGCGAGGGTTTCCACTCTTACCTCCCCTGTACCTATTCCAATGTTCTCATCAGGTCCCCCTCCACCACTTTCACCATGGGCTCTTCCTCGTTCTCTCAAACAGGCATTCTCATCCCTTTAGGCCCTTGTGCTCCAATGAAACTTTCCCCGACACTTCTACCCACAGCAACCTCTAATTTTCTCCCCCCTTCACATTCTGCATTTCTTTCAGAGAACCAAAACCCTTCACCGTATCACATTTTGGTGTACGTTGTATGCGTGCTCCTGCTAGACACTGTAAACTCCCGAAGGTCAGTTACTTGTTTTGACCTTCAACTGCCCAGTACATTGCTCCACAGCTGCTGCATATTTGCAGAATGATACCAGGACAGGGAACAGTGGTATGGAAAGGAGCAGTATTATCTCCAAAGCACTTCCATCCACACGCCTCGGAATGAGCGCCCCACCTTTTGGTCTAGTTCCCATCACAGTCAAGGGTCTCAGCAAATCTCACAGAACAAGAAAACAGAGGTGAGGGAAGCAGTCTCCATGTTTTTTAAAGGCCAGCACCCTAGGGCAGCAATTTTCAACGTGTGCTGCAGGAATTCTTAAAACATATAGTACCTATTTAGTCAGGTGCACTGACCTCTTATCTCTTGGACTTTGAAATAAAAAAATGGCGACCAGCAACACAATCACCATCCAGTGTGAATGCCGTCTTGAACCACACACATACACAGGTCACATAACAGAGATGCATCTTACTGGTCACACCGGATAATAAGGTTGCACTTGATTAACTCTTGGTACCAGAATACTTATGTACAAGTAGTAGGCGCCTGGTTTTTTCAAGTCACTTTGGAGCAAAAAGGGTACATTAATGATTAATATTATTATTATTTTGTAAACCAAAGTCATACTAGTTTTTGGTCACATAAGCAAAAAATATTTTTGGTGTGCTGAATTTTAGTAATTAATGTGTGCCATGTGATGAAAAAGGTTGAAAAGCACTGCCCTAGGTCCACGTCCAGGGAAAGAGGGAGGGAATCCTAGGCCCAACCAACCTCTTTTCCCACTGTCCTCCGAAATGGAGAGTCTCCTCGGAAACTGAGGAAGACTTTGAGCTTTGGATTCCCAATTCCCTCAAAGTAGGTGGCAACCAAGGCAACAGGCCTACAGTAACTCCTTTCATATTCATTCATAGTTTTTCCCTGTCAAGTGTCAGTTAAGAAGAAGGGGCGGCTGCAAGGCAAAGCAGCCGGTTCTCTCAGCCCAGGTTAGACGGAAGCTGGAGCGCGGGCAAACCGGACAGGACGCAGCATTCGTTCCCGGCGACGTGAACAAGACCCGAGCCTGGGCGGTGGAGCAGATGAGATGGTGTATGAGAAAGAACCGAGAAACAAGACGTCTAAATAACTAATGAAAATTTAATACATTAAAACCAGATTATTTATCACGTATATTGCATTTGCCATTTCTGAACAATACAAAGGAGAGGCAAATAGTGACACTTCATAAAAATGTTGATTCCCGCCCCCTTCCCTAAGACCCAACCTCCCACAAATGCCCCTCCCACCCCTACATAACTCTGTCTTGAATAAAACACTTAAATACATCATAAATAGTAAATTATGAAAAAAATAGCAAGAATTGTTTCTTTCCTTCTTGTAAAAAAGAACATGGCAGCAAAGACAGGCAGCCAGAATTTGGCTGGGGGTGTCTAATATAGACAGTTACTTGGGGTATGGGCTAACCTACTAGGGTTGGGTGGGACGAAGAGGGGATAGTGTGGGAATTTAACAATCGGCCTGAGATGCCAGGTCCCCTCCTCCCCCCGACAAGAGGAGGCAATTCAGATGGAGAACTGCAACTCTTGGAGATGAGGAGGAGAGGGATTATATTACCCCCCCATTTCCAAGTTCTCTGCACGAAGAGAGGAGGGCAGGACAGGGGGCACAACAGTGACCTCACCAAGGCAAGAATCTGCTGGCTCCCATGAGTTTAAGAGATATTCTCAAGCCTCATAGACACAGACTGCCTGTTACACAGACACAGGTGAGCCCCTCCTCCACCTCAGCTCCACAAACAGCAGAACACTGCTGGAAAAGGTGGGGAGAGCAAGGAACAAATCTCCTTTGGAGAAGGACCTAAAATTCATTTGATGTCTTCATACTTAGAAAAACAACCACAATATATTTCAAATTGCAAAATAGTAACAATCATTATGGCCCAGTGGTGAGGAGGACCATGCCTAGGAAGGACACTGGTCTCCTAGCCCCATGACTGCGCCACTGTTTCAACAAAAGGGGTAAAGACGACCCCATGTCCCACTCTCTCCATTCCTTCGGCCTTAAGAAATTCATCAAGAGAGGAGTTAAAGGAGCTGCTCCAGACGGAGCAGTCACCACACTTCTGCTTCTCAAACCCCAGGGCTCTTCAGAGGAAACCCTCTGAGTGAGCATCTCTCCAGCACTTCAGGAGTTTTGATCTGAAACTGTCTGGCTTAAAATTATGTGCTGTACACTATTTTTTCTTTTCCTCTTGCAGGTGGAAAAAATGGTTGGAAGGTAGTTAAACACCCTCATATCCCCAAAACCTTTCCAAACTTTATAGGGATCTTCTTCCAGAAAGAGCAAGCCATGGTAAGGATAACGGGCCAGCCAGTCTGTCCTGAGGAAATTAAGAGTCCAGCTCCAGGTGACAGGTAGATGAGAAGGAAGAAAACCACTAAGTCCAACAACCCATTTCCATCAGGAAGAATGGGGGTGTGAAAACAATTCAATTGTGGAAACCAAGGTTGGCCAGTTGAAAACCCGTGCCGCCCAGCTCGGGTGTGCAGAGGATGCTGGTGCCCTCAACTGTCTGAGGCGCTAATGCCCATTCATGAGGAAGGGGAAGGAGAACAGGTTCTTCTTCAGAGAGGAGCTGGAGAGCCTCCCGAGCCTCCATCATACTCCTTTTCTGATGACCAAGAAGAAAACTCAGCATTGCTGAGGCAAGTGCTGACATCTTGGGATCACAGAGATGGTAGAATCTTGTTCCAGGTCTTCTGAGGATTTCTGCTCACTGAAAAAGGAAAGGGCATAAAGTTAAGAATGAGGAGTATTATTACATAAGGAGGTAGAAAAGGAATTCAAGTTCATTTCAACCTGGCAGTTAAGTGTTCTTCCTTTTCAGCCTCAATGTCCTAGTTTAAGGTACCACAAGCAAAATTTTCAAAAGCAAGATTTAAGGGGCACCCAGTCCCTTAACTTTGCCAATCAACACCTTGTTCCACATTCCATTAATTCATCATCTTTATACTCTTCATAGCATTTACCTCCCCCACATCCCAGACACTCACATGGGTGAACTCTGACTCTTCAATTTCAAGCTTTTCCAAGAGGTCGGAACTAACAGGAGGGAAAAAAATGTAAGTAGAAGAGTTAGAAGATAAAAAAGAAAAAGGACTGTCCTTTCAAGTCTAATTTTATACTGCTTCTCCCTATTTCAATTCAGATTCAATCCAGGATTCAGAAAGAAGAGGCTAAGAAGCTACTAGACTGAGAAAACACATTATTTTAATTACCTATTTAGTTTCTTGAAACCATGCAATATTTCCTAAGACCTCTTCTTCTTTCTTTAATCCCCGGGGGTATGGCAGGCACCCAGTGACCACTGCTGCCTGATATTCATGCCACTATGTAACTCTCTTGAGTGTGGGCTGGATTTAATGGCTTTCTTCTACTGAACAGAATATAGTACAGGTGATGGCATGTTGATTCTGAGGCGAGGTTACAAAAAGACTATAGCTTCCTCTTGGGCTTTCCTTTCTCTTACTTGTTTGCTATGAGGGAAGCTAGCTGCCCTGTGTGAGCTACCCTATGATAGGACCATGGAACAAGGAACCGAGGGAGTACCATGGGCCAGCTGCCAGCAGAGAACGAGCCCTCAGTCCAGCAGCCTAGAAGGAACTGAACCCTGCCAACTACGTAAGCTTGGAAACGGATACTCCCCTGGGTAAGCCTTCAGATGAGACCACTGTCCTGGCTAACAGCTTGACTGAGAGGCCCGGAGCCAAGGCACCCAGCAAAGCCACACCTAGATTCTTAAGCCACATAAAATATGACATAATAAATGTTTTTTGTTTTTAGCCGCTAAGATTTAGAGTAACTTGTCACACAACAATAGATAATAATATGTCTGCAAATGAAGTACCGCTGTAATAAAAACCTAAAATGTGGAAGTGGCTATGGAAGGAAATGGGCTTTGAGAGTTTTAATGAAAGTTTAAAAGTGCCCTGAATATTCTACAGAATTTTGGACTTTAAGGGAGTTGCTAGTAAGGGCTAAAAGTGAGAAGAAAAACACCCTCTTTTTAAAAAGTATGTTTATTGATTTTAGAAAGAAGGGGGGGAACATTAACAAGAGAAACATCAGCTGGCTGCCTCCCATGTGCATCCCAACCAGGAAACGAACCCACAACCCAGGCATGTGCCCTGACCAGGAATCAAATCCCCAACCTTTCAGTGCATGGGATGATGTTCCAACCAACTGAGCCACACAGTCCAGGGTGAGGAAAAAAACTCTCATTAGAAATCAAAGGAAAGGGAATCCTTATTGTGTAATGGAATGACGGTTTAGCAAAATGTCATCTGTAGTTATGTGGAAAGTAGAGTATGTGCCTAATAAACTGGGTGATCTTGCCATGGAGATTTCTAAACAAAGTGCTGAAAGTGCTTTCTGATTTCTTCTTAATGCTTATAGTAAAATATGAGAAGAAAAAATATTGAGAAGGATTACTGAATAAAAAGCCAAAGCTGATGGTTTTGAAAATCCTGAGACTCTCCAGATAACAAACAATGCTAAAATTAAGAAATGGCTTCAGCCGTGGCTGTGTGGCTCAGTAGGCTGCGCGCTGGCCTGCAAACTAAAGGGTCGCTGGTTTGATTCCTGGTCAGGGCACATGCCTGGCACAGGCCAGGCTCCCGTAGGGGGGCAGGTGCGCTAGAGGCAGCCACACACTGATATTTCTCTCCCTCTTTCTCCCTCCATTCCCCTCTCTAAATACATAAATAAAACCTTAAAAAAAAATAAACCATGGAAATGCCAGGAATATGTAGTTAAAGATAAAACTAAGGGTATGACTGTATTTTTTAAGGCCTCAAAAAAATCCAAGTTGATGTTTCAGAGTACTATTCAGTCATAAAGAAAAGGCAATTCAAAACATTAAGAAAGAATAAGGGTGTATGTCACAGATCCTCTCAACAACAGATCTCTAAAAAGTATAGGGCTTATCAGGAAGGTATCTGTAGGTGCAGCTTTTATTTAATCGAGTAAATGCCAATGAGATGCTCACAGGAGGCCTACAAAATCTTTGAGAGTACTGTATCAGCAGAAACATCACCAGCTTGGACCGAAAGGAACAGTAACAGTGCAAAATGAAAAGAACCCCTGGATCCCTCAAATTCTACTGGCATGAAGCAGGCTGAGGAAAGTACTCAGCTGCAGCGCATTCTTGTTTTCTTGAAAAAAGGCAGACCCAGAAGGCAAAACCAAAAGTCCAAAAGGTAGAGGCAAGAGCCATGGAGAATTATTTCCATGCTTTGAGACATGACAAAGAAACTCCAGCATTTGCTGTATTTTAGGTAGCTATGGATCAGTGATTCCTTTGTGCTTCCCACACTCCCCCTTTTGTACAGGAGTGTGTACAGGGATTACCTAATGCTTGTCTCACCACTGTACACTGGTGGGTGGCGAGAAGATAGCTTGTCTCCTCAGTTTCACAGGCCCTCAAATTGGGAGGAACAGCACTCAAGGAACAATACCTGGGAAGCTCACCCAAACCTGGGGCTAATTTAGATGGCAAAATTCTGGACTTTGCGCTGATGCTATAATGGGATGCAACTTCTGGGAACCATGAGAGGGAATGAATTTTGCACATGGAAGGATGTGAATCACTAGGGGTCAGAGGGTAGATTATAATAGGTGATGTCTAAGATGGCCCCAAAGATCCCTGCCATGCTGGTATCCACACCTTGGGTAATCCTTTTGAGTGTGGGTTAGGTTTAGTGAACAGAATGCAGTACAGGTGGTAGGATGTCAATTCTGAGGCTGGATGATAAAAAGAATGTGGCTTCTGCTTAGGTCCATGCACTCTGAGGGAAGTCAGCTGTCTCAGTGTCCTATGGAGAGGCCCATGTGGCAAACAACTGAGGCCAAGAGCCAGCAAGAAACTAAGGCTCTCAGTCCAGCAACCTGCAAGGAACTGAATCCTGCCCAAAGCCACATAAATGAACTTAGAGATGAGCCTTCAGATGAGACCCTGGCCCCAGGGTAGTCACAGCCTGACTACCTCTTCATGAAAAGGTCTTTAGCCAGAGGACAGAGCTAAGCTGCACCCAGACTCCTGACCCACAGAAACTATGACATATGTTTGTTATTTTAAGCCACCAAGTTTTGATTTAATAGAGAATTACCACACCAGCTAACAAAATCAAATCACAACCTTTACACTGGATTCTCTTGAAAGATTGACTGTTCATTGTCTTCACTGCCCAGGAATCTTTCCAGCCTTACAGTGTAGGTTGAGAACTCACTTAACTCACCAGGAGATGAAAGGCTAGTTAGGGTATTTTGACTGAGTATCAGAAAAGTCTGCACACAAAGGGTTCTCCCCACCTCTTAAAAGTATAGAGATGTTGACAAACTTCTCTAAGTCTCTAAAGATGAACTCTAAGGAAGGTGAACCTGAAAAAAATCTAGTGAAGAGCAAAGACAATGACCTCTGGGAAAAAAACAAAACGAAACAGAGACACAGAGGTTCCCAAGGACCTGAAGAAAGAGATGAGAAGATTATATGGAGAGAGGGGCAAGGAACCAACCTTGTCGATAGCATTTGCAAAGTCTCTCCAACTACAGGTGAAAAACAGGGGTCAGGAATAGTCGAGACCTCACTGATTTTCTCCGAAGGTGGAGTCTGAGGTAAAACATCAGGACGACCGAAGTGGACGCCTGGAAAAAAGAAAGGGGAAGAACATCAATAAATAAAAAAGAAGAGAAAATGGGGTGGGGGAAATACAGGGGAAAATATGCAGCAACTTGGCTTTTCCTGAACAGGAATGGGAAACAGCGTCCCAGGTAAATAAGGACGCGGAAGGAAGGGAGAGAGTGCCCAGTCACATGGGAACCCCAGCCCTGGCGCTGACCTGGCTCCACTTCCGCCTTTGTTGTCACTTGTGCCTTGTGCTCCCCAGACACCGATGGCTGGTAAGTAATGCACGAGTTGCCGCTGGGGCCTCCTCGCCGAGAGAAAGATGAGCCAGACCGAAACTTTTTGGAAGGAGAGGGCTTCACTTCAAAGGGAAAGAGAGAGCCTACTTAGCACCCACCTCGGAAACCATCACCAAGACACAGACACAACTTGCTAGCGGCCCAACACAAACACAGAGCTGTTTTCCTCCAAAGCGGGGAGAAGGGTTAATGTCAACACAGGCAGGCTCTGAGTGACTGTTTAGAGGAGGGGGCATCTCAGTTCACTTCATTCTGGAAAGAAGAGGAGAACCTAGAGGAAAGGAGACATTCCTATTTCTCCTCTCCTACAAGCAACCTCAATAGCTTTGCTTCCACCTGATAAGATAGATACTCTGTTTCGTAAAACCCTGCTCTTTAACAGTATCCTTCAGTTGAACCTGACAAAGATGACCCTTTCACACTATATCCTCACAGCACTATGACGATACTTTATACCCCTGTTATACATCACTTTGAAAAGACTTTGAAAGGATTTCCCATGTTTCTTAAAACTGTGTGGCATGCTGAGGTCCACTCTGACTCCCTGAGGGATGCCATAATGAGGAGATGGGGAGGAGGAGCTGGAATTTGCCAGTAGCAGCAACATGAAAGGTTTAGAAAGAACAACACTGACACTTCTCAACCAAGAAAGATGAGAGGAAGAGAGTAAAAACACTTGCTAAGCAGAAATCAGTAAATGCTTCTCCAACAATTTGAACCTAGTCTGAAAACTCCTTGGCATTGGATTTATAAACTCGAAATAGAACACTGATAATATCCTTGTCCATAAAAGTCTGGCTCTGCCTATCTCAGCCTGTGACTCGGATCCTACTCCCACATTTTTTTGCAGTCCCTCTCCCAGAAATGCCCCTCACCTCAACGACACATGAAGGGAGAGCCAGAGGGGAAAGCAGCAACGTGGAAACAACTGGGACAGACAGAATGACTGACATGACGGGCAGCAGCTCTCATGGGACGTGGGCAGAGCAGGAGAAGCCTCTGGCGTTGGCAGTTCCCTGACAGAGGTATCCTGCCCCCAACTCTTGGCATAAGCGAGCCACTGGGGGCTCATCTGGTAGAAGCCACTTACAGGGTATCTTCTTGAAGACTGTGTTGCACATGAAACGCTGGAACCGTTCAGCATAGAAGCCTGGGCGATGCACCGATACAGTGTCCTGTGGAGAAGAAGAGATGGCTGCAGAGTTAAGGGATGGGGGAAGTCCAACAAGAGGACCTCTAGTCCAAGGGCCATTTTCCCTAGGCTGAGACCCTAGCACAAGTGCAGACTCCACAAATGAAGTAAGATAAGAAGAAAATGAGGGGGGCATACTACAAGTGAGGGAGGCAGAAGAGGAGCCGCTGGCTGACCACTACTCACCCCGTCATGTACCAGAGCTTTCCAAGAGTGCTCCAACTTCTTAACAAACCTGCCAAGAAAAATGCATGTCATGCATTCACAGTTTTTAAATAATGACCTTACACTTTTTAATTTTAGGGAGTTAGGCAATGGCAACAGAAAAACTTAAAAAAGAGAGGGGCTGGGAAAGTAGTCCCACTATTATGCTGGCTTTCCAAAGAATGGACACAGTAGTGCTTACTCAGCAAGGAGATCAAAGCTGTTTCTAGGTAGGTCAATTACCCCAACAGAAAAGGGTAGTTAGTATGTCCCTGGCAAGTCAGGGAGAAGAACACTTATTGGAAAAGAACAGCTGGAGGAACAGACGAGCAAGCCTGTAAGAGAGGGGTTAAAAATGGATGATAACATCCTGAAGCAGTAAACCAAGCACTGTCCAGTCCTCATTAGTACCCGAAATCTTACAGGAGCAAAACTGGGGTCCAATATTCCAGCTCTTCCCTCACCATCACTTCACTGCCCCTTAGTTCAGGCTAGTTAATACTCTTACAGAACACAGTGACACTCTTGTTTTTCCTCCACGGAAAAGGGCAACATGTTTCCAGGGGTAGCCCAATGTGGAGTAAGACTCATCTCCCAGGTTTTTCAGAGTCAGACAGATGGTATATTCTACCCTGATGCTTCCGAGAAGTGAGTCAGCTTTCCATAGAGGTACGGTGGGGGGGTAAGGAAGCCAGAAGACAGGCAAAAATCAAGAAAATAAATCACCACTTGCAACCCAAAAAGATGAGCAGCCAGATCACAACTTACTGTTCTTGTTTCAGGGAGAACTTGGTGACAAACCCATCTAAAAGAGAAATGAGTGGTTGTCTGCATCCACTCTGCCCCCTAATTTGGAATCCATGTTTCTCACCTGTAAGACTGCAGAATGTCAATGATCCCAATATAAAGCAGCAGCCTTTCCCCTTTACTATTCCGGGCAGGGATGCCACCCATACTGAGGAAGACAAGGAAAGAGTAAGAAAACCTTTTGGCTAGCAGGTGACTAAACATAACTGCCCTATCTTCCATAAACTGGGGAAGAGTGAGAGCCTTCCTCTGATCGCAACCCCTCGGGAGTATGTATTATAACCTCTTTCTCTCCAAATCTCACTTGCCTGCTTTTCCCGCCCCAATTCCACCGAAGAGAATCTAAAATCACCCCTACTCAGCAATTCTGGGATGTTTCCCCAATTAACACTAAACTCCCTCACTCCTCCCATATTTAAATCTATGCCTACTAAGACACTCTTCTACTTCTTTTTAATTTTTATTTGATTTTAGAAAGAGAGAGGAAAAAAGAAAGGGAGACGGAGAGAGAGAACATTGATATGTTCCACTTATTCATGCATTCATTGGTTGATTCTTCTATGTGCCCTGATGAGGGACTGAACTTGCAGCCGTGTTGTATCAGGACCACACTCTAACCAAATGAGCTACCCGGCCAGGGCTAAGACACACTTCTTCTTCAGTCCTATTAAAGGATACCTCATAAATGAGCCCTGGCCAGCGTGGCTCAGTTTGTTAGGCATCGTCCCATAAACCAAGAAGTTGCCGGTTTGATTCCTGGTTAGGGCCATGCCTGGGTTGCGGGGCACTTGCCAAAGGTAGCCAACTGATGTTTCTCTCTCACGCTGATGTCTCCCTCCCTCTCTTTTTCCCTCCTTTCCCTGCTCTCTAAAATAAAATAAAAATAAACAAAACTGTCTTAAAAAAAAAAAAGAAACCAACTAAAGAACATTTATGGTTCTTTAGTTAACTATACATCCTGATGGATCCATTTATGGTAAGAAAGATGCTTTCCATAAAAGTTTTTAATAAATTGGTTTTGATGACATTCTAATATAATTTGCAGTCATGTGTAAACTTTTAAAAAAAAGTCTTTTAATTTTGAATAGCTCTCCTTCCCAGTTGTACTACAAATCCCAAATTTAAGACACCATCTTTTTCATATATATATATATATACATTTTATTATTTATTTTTATTGTTTATTCTATTACAGTTGTTTCTGCCTTTTCTCCCTTCCCACAACCTCCCCTCCCTAAATCAATCCCCATATCCTTGTTTGTGTCCCTAGGTTGTGCATAAAGTTCTTTGGTTAATCTTTTCTCCATCTTTCACCCAGTCCCACCTCGCCTTTCTAGCAACTGCCAGTCTGTTTCATGTATCTAAACTCCTGTTACTCTTTTGTTCACCCTTATATATTCTTAAGAAAGATCACTTATAATCTATAAGTGTTAACGTTGTTGACTTAACTGCTGATTAAAGGCTATTCCTTCCCAGAAGCTACACCCCTTCCTCAAAAAGAAATGCTCTCCTTCCTGGTCCCTCTGAGCCCACTCACTGGTCTTCAGTCTCCATGGTGCCACCTCGCCGAGCCTCGCCCTGGATAGATTCCATGGCTGTGGAATACAGAGCCTTTTGGGGGGCTGGTTTGCGAGTGTCTACTGAGTATTGTGATTCATTGCCTGAGGGCTCTCGCTGTGCGTGATCTATGTTATGGATTGACATCAGGAGGCTATAATCCATTATCTTGAAGCTCTGCAGCACCTAAGGGAAGGAAAACATAATCTGAGCCTTGAGAGGTATGAGGACTTTTTTTAGGACCTCACAGCTTTCCAGATCCAATTATTCTGGAGGATTAGTGAACCTCCAGGGCTAACCATAAAATTATCCTTTGGTCTCCTACCCTTGGAGAAGAGCATTATCACCCTCCTCTGGTTGCTCTTCATTTGTATCCCCTCAGCTTTCTATCCTTTGAGTAAACACAAATTAGGCAACTAACAAGATGCATTTTGTTCTTTCATCTCTTTACAAAAACAGCATTATATTCTCAAAGGTATAAAAAATACATATTTGTGCTGTAAAGCATCTCTGGTTAAGAGTACATTTTGTGACAGAGCAGATCTGCTGCAGGACCTTACGTGACCAGCTTCAACTCAGGTCAATGTTTACTGAACACCTACCACCTGTAGGTGCTGTGCCTGCTTATAGGGGACACAAAGACACTTAAGAGTGTTTGTCCTCTAGGATATTATAATTTAGGAAGAGAAACAAATGTAAAAATAAATACAACACTGTTGTACACAGTCTAATGTGTACAACAGCAGACATGCTTACATGATTGAGGGGCAGTACGGGGGTAGCCAGGAAGCGATATATACATTTATAAAGGATAAATGAGATAATCAGTCCAAGTACACAAAAGGAGGAAAGAATATTGCAAGGCCTGGAAGTATGAAACAGCACGTTACATGTGTAGGGAGGTATAATTTGGTCTTGCTATAACATAAAATGCAATGCAATGGCCAGGTAAGGCAAATTGGAGAGGCTGGGTAAGACAATATTATGAAGCCTGGATCATATCCCATAGTTCTCAACACTCTTCCTAACTCAGAACAGGTGGGAAAGGGTTCCCACCACCAGTTCCAGGAGCTCACTTTGGTGCTGCAGCTCAACCATTTTGGTAGGTGGAGTAAGGGATGAAGACGACAAATGAAACATACCCAAAATGAAACACAGCAAAATGTTCAGGGAACCAACAGTGACAGGAAGGAAACCAGGACTCAAAGCAATGATTTGGAACAAAAGAAATAAACATCCAACTAGAACAGAATGAAGAAGTTAAGAACTCAAAAAAAAAATGAAGAGAGACTTAGGAACCTCTGGGACAACTTGAAACATTCCAATATCCAAATTATAGAAGTACCAGAAGGAAAAGAAAAACAACAAGAAATCGAAAACCTATTTGAACCAATAATGAAGGGAAACTTCCCCAATCTGGTGAAGGAAACAGACTTCCAGAAGTTCAGAGAGTCCCAAAGAAATTGGACCCAAACAGGAACACACCAAGGCACATCATCATTAAGTTCCCCAAGATTAAAGATAAAGAGAGAATCTTAAAAGCAGCAAGAGAAAAGGAGACAGTTACCTATAAAGGAGTTTTCTGAAGACTATATTAGCGGATTTCTCAAAGGAAACCTTGCAGGCAAGAAGGGGCTGGAAAGAAGTATTCCAAGTCATGAAAGGCAAGGACCTACATCCAAAATTACTCTATCCAGCAAAGCTATCATTTAGAATGGAAGGGCAGATAAGTGCTTCCCAGAATGAGGTCAATTCAGAGGAGGTCATCATTGCCAAGCTTTTATTATATGAAATGTTAAAGGGACTTATCTAAGAAACTGAGTAAGATCAAAAGTATGAACAGTAAAATGACAACAAACTTACAACTATCAACAAATGAACCTAAAAACAAAAACAAACAAAAAAAAAAAACAACCACGAAAACAAAAACTAAGCAAACAACTAGAACAGGAACAGTATCAGAGAAATGGACATCATACAAAGGGATTTCAGTGGCGAGGTGGAAGGGAGGAATGGGGCGAAAAGGTACAGGGAAGAAGAAGCATAATTAGTAGGTATAAAATAGATGGGAAGAGGTCAAAAATGGTAATAGAAAACAAAGAACTCAAAGAACTTATATGTACAACCCATGAACATGAACTAAGGGGGGAGGAATGCTGGAGGGTTGGGGGGTATGGGAAGGAGGGGGGATAAAGGGGAAAAATTGGGAAAACTGTAATAGCAAAACCAATAAAATATACTTAAAAAAAAAAAAAAAGGAGGAAATGGATCTAGAGGACAAAAGGGACTGACCTGGAATAAGTCACCAAGTTGGGAAGAAAGGAGATTAAGGATGGTTGAGTACAGATATGTTTATATACTGGTAACAGGGCAGGACAAAGCGATAGCACAGAATAGAAAGTTGAGGTGGTTTGTTGAGAAACAAGGCTGTGGGATGGGAGTTAAACAGTTTGACAAAACAAACATACAAAGAAACAAAAATGCAAACTCATATACACAGAAAACAATGGTGGTTACAGGGGCGGGGTGGAGGACAGAACAAAAGAGGGTGAAGGGCGTCGGATACATGGTGATGGAAGGAGACTAGGCTTCGGTGGCGAGCACATAATAGACTATACAGGTGTCAATTATTAAGTTATACAACCAAAATTTATATAATGTTGTTAATTAACATTACTCCAATAAATTTAACATTTAAAATTTTTTTTTAAATTAAAAAATAAAGTGGTTTGAAGAGTACTCTCTTCAGGTGATTTCAATCATCTGAAATCTCTGCAGAGAAGCAAAAAATGGGAAGATGAGGGAAACTAAGGAAAGCCGTCTCCAGGTGGAGACGGCTTTCATGTGTCTGGAGAGATGCCAGTACATGCAGTTGTATAATTTTCTTTATCAGCAGGACTGATATCTGAGGAATGATGGCGCTGCCAAGAAAATAAAAAGAATGTATGATTATGAGGCCCAGGGTAGGCAGAGAAGGAAATAAAGCCAGGTGGGGTGAGGGAGGAGAAACAGGGAGGAAGTAAAAATGTAAACGTGTATCAATGACCTAAAGTAAAAATTATTTCCAATGAAGTCTGTGACATATGAAGTGAAGGAATAGAGTCCTATCTCCCACAAATTTGATGCCTAAGAACCACCAAGCTGTTTAGTGACTGAGATTTTTGGTGTCTATGAGAGAAGGAATTCTGACAAACTCACCAAACAGTCACGCTGTAGGGTCTTACAAAGAGCGTTATACATATCAGCATCCAAAAAGAGACCATCAGGAATGTCTTGTAAGAAGTCCAGGTCTTTAAAGGTGGGGAGAGGCTTATCTCGCTCTTTTTGGGAAGCCCGCCGTTTGTAGGTTGAGCCCTTGAGGTCATACTTGATATGCATCTTGACTGACCGAGGTAAGAGATTGTTCATTACCACAATCCGAATGTTCTTACCACCTGCCTGCACACAGTACAATCCATAGAATTTAGGCAGCAAAGTTCGAGGGTTCTGGTTGAGGTTCTAAGGACATAAAAACAAAAAGTAGGAGAGCAAATTAGCTGATTTTCAGTAAAACTCAAGAGCAAAAGCTGCCACCCGCCTTCTTTCCTTCGTTAGTTGGAATTCAGATACATTCTGTCTGTTCATAAGCCCACACCACATAGTATATTTGTTTAAAAGTTCCCAATGCATCTAATGATAGGATCATCACCAAGCTGAGCTACAGACCCTCCAATACAGTAATCAGTCAAGATACTGAATGTTTGACAGATATATTCTTTTAGAGTTTTAAGAGAACAAGGTGTTGAAAAAGTCTTAACTCTTAGCCCTTGGTATAGTATATTCTTGGGTAAAATGGGAGGCAAAGGAGAGTTCCCTAACTTCTCCAGAACCTTCAAGAGCAATCAGTCAGAATAAGATTGGATAGAGTATTATCAAGAGAAGTAACCAACTTCATACCTCAGGGTAGGAGCTGAACTAAGAATAGAAAACAAAATCATCATTTAATCTGGCCTTTGGGAGGACAGTCTAAGCCAAATAACACTTAAAATAGAATATATAAACAAAACCCCTTTTAGACATAGAGAGGCAAAGAGATGGAGTGAAAAGCACAAAATGAACTATATTCTTAAGACAGAAGCTCTGACACTGTTGTGCCCCCGCTGACGACAGCCTCCCCAGCCCTGTCCAGCAGTGGAGTGGGCTACACAGATAGCCGGTGCTCCTCTTTCTCACCATGTAGTATCCTGGAAGCAGCTTCTGCAGAAACTCTGCCTCTTTATGCTGGACTGTTTTAATGATGAATTCGTCATCGCTGGACACGTAGAAGAGGGAACCACTGGCCCCAGAGCTGCAGAGTTCAATCAGTGGCTCATTGCAGAGGGAGTACTGGGGCCCAGAAAGAAGAGAACAAGAAGTTCATAAATACCAGGACCTACCCAACCAGAAATCACTACAGATGGAATTCTATTCCAAAAGAAAACTCGAGTAAGGCTATGGAGAAAGAGGGTCTTCCTTTAGGAGTATTCCTCTGACACTGGAATCACAAGGTCATGGGATGCAGAAACTTACCAAATAATCATCAGGCCGGATACCAAATAATTCCCGAAAGTAGCGGAAGGCAACAGGTGCATAGGTCTTGAACCGAAAGTCATTGTAGTGATGAGCAGGGGTCAGGTTGCTCCCTTCACTGTGGGGTTAAATAGAAGAAGCCACAAGTTACCACTCCTCGTCACCCAGGGCCCTGTCCACCCTGGGAGTCACCCAGAGATAGGTCAATACATCACTCCTGAGAGAACCAGAGAGATCAGATGAGTCAGTTACTTAGTGGGACAAAAAGCACAACATGGGGATTAAGACATGAACACAGGGAACAACAATGCCTCCTACCCAAATGCATGGCATTGTTTTCTAGGGCTCACTCCACAGGCCAGAGGCTCACAGAAACAGACAAAGGACAGAAGCTGTTCTCCACATTCCAGAGTCCCACATCACCCTGGTTCAGAACTGGACACATGTCTAAGTTAGACCCAAACCCCTAAAACTGCCCTGAGTTCAACATGAAAAGCCACACTTTCCAGGACATTATCCTGAACATTAACCTCTGTACCTGGGGAAGAAGATACTTTCCACCACGTAAAAGTCTTGCATGAGGACATCCCGCTCCGGTTTGGTACTCAGGCTCCCCACAGTGTGAGTGATGCCTAGCTGGATGGCACCTTTCAAGGCTGATGAGGTTGTCTGAAAACAAAAAGGAAATAGAGGAAAGTTTCTAGTATTAAACCTGATCAGGCCCTGGCCTGGTAGCTCAGATAGTGAGAGCATCGTCCTGACACACCAAGGTTTCTGGTTCACTATCCAGTCAGGGCACATACAAGAATCAACCAACGAATGCAGAAACAAATGGAACAAATCGATGTTTCTCTCTCTAAAATCAATAAAAAATAACAATAAATAAATCTGATCACAGCAGTAAAAACTCAGGAGGGAAGAGCCAGGAGGAGCACTTAAAAACAACTGTCCTAGTAGTTCAGACTAATCCAGTTTCCCCACCCTGATGCTTTACACTGCAGTTTGGCCTGGCAGAGAATGAAAGGCCTGACGTTACAGAGTAGCAAAGCTGGGACTGGCGCAGCCAGTCTCAGCTAGGCAAGGTGTTCCCTCCTATCCATATCTATACTTAGAAGATACACTGTATTGAGAGAACGCTCTCACGTCTCACTCCAAAAGCTCCTTCCCCCGAGTATCTGGGGTGCTCCCCCATATTTATTCATCCGATGCAGAATATAATTAAAATTAAGTGATAATTTGAGTATCTACCTGGCTATAGAAGCTTCAGTCCTCTAAGGCAGGGCCTGACTAGTGTTCTAAGGACAACAAAATGTGTGTGTGTGCGCACGCGCAAGCGCTGGGGGCGGGGGGAGCGGTGGGGCAGGGGGGCAGTTCCTAACTGGAGAAGCGCGAAGACTGAGATAATTCTAAATCTAAATACTTCTTCCAGAAATTATCACATTGTGATCAAAACCCTTAAAATCTAGAATTCTAATCCCATGGGAAAATATCACACTGCCTATCACACTGTTATGTGCTGCACCATACAGTAGCACCAGGACATATATGGCTATTTAACTTTAAGTTAACTAAAATTAAATTGAAAATTTACTTCGCCCTGGCTGGTGTGGCTCAGCTGGTTGGAGCATTGACCTGTAAACTAAAAGGTTGCTGATTAATTTTCTAGCCAGGGGACATGCCTGGGCTGTGGGTTCAGTTCCTGATCCAGACACGTGTGAGAAGCAACCTATCAAGGTTTCTCTTTCTCTCCCTCCTGTCCCCTCTAAAAAACAAAAAATCAATGAATAATTTTATAAATTTCACTTCTGCTCTTTCTAGTAGTGTGGCTCAATGAATTGAGCACAGGCCTACAAGGCAAAGGGTCACTGGTTTGATTCCCAGTCAGGGCCCATGCCTGGGTTGTAAGCCAGGTCCCCAGTAAGAGGTATGCAATAGGAAACCACACACTGATGTTTCTCACCCTCTCTCCTTCCCTTCCCCTCCCTCTAAAAATAAAATAAAATCTTAAAAAAAAAATTTTCACTTCTTCAGTCTTACTAGCCACATACTCAAGTATGACTAATGACTACCATTTTGGATAATACATATAATAAATTTCAATCACTGCAGAAAGTTCTATTAGACAGTTTTGTTCTACATTATTTTCCTCATCCCTAACTCTCACATATTTATACTTCTAACTAGTCCTCACTGGGCATTAAAAGTATAATTAGTGTTTTTAAGTGTTCGCCTCTCCAATTAGACTAGAAACTCAAAACTTTTGGTCTCAATGTTCAGCACATAAAAAGAGCTCAATAAATATCTGTTGAATTGACATGGGCCTCAGAGCCCATTCCTAGGGAGAGTCAGGACCCTGCCAGAGAATGAGAATGCATTACTTGGGACAATGCAATAAAGGCAGAAAACAGACACAAGAAAAATTTATGTGGGCCAGAAACACGACTCCAAGAAATCTGCACACCCTGTGTCAGACAAGCCACAGGTGCTAAATAGGAGCACCTGTCCCTGGAGAAGCACAAGCATCTCCAAACAGTCCAGACATGAAGAACCCAGATCACCCCAGGATGTTTTCTCCTCCTGTTTTCCCTTTATCAGTTCAATTTTCTGTTCTTGGCTATTACTACTATCTTTCAAATCCATTAGAAAGCTCAAAAAGCAGCTGTTCTAGGCCCTATTCACCAGCTGAAACTACATTCTTAAAATAAAAAAATAAACAAATAACAAACCCACAAAGAAGAAAGAAAAACACCTGACCTGCTGTCTATCTCTGTATCACCAGGCTGGGTGAGACATGGCCTTGATTTTATGTACAACCAGCACGAGAGGAAAGACAGAAAGACTTCAAGAGATGTGGTTCCCTGTAGCAAGGGAAAAATGGCCTTGAAGGCTTGTTAAATGTTTATACCTAACAGGGAAACCCAATTTCTTCAGCTCAGTGAAACGGCATCGAACACCAGATTTATCCATTAAGAACATTCTCATTTAATCACACATACACAGATGAGAGATAACTCACTTCACCCTTTGTGAAGTAAACTCTAAAGTCCAAGTTGTGCCTGGCTGGTATAGCTCAGTGGATTGAGCACAGGCCTGTGAACCAAAGGGTTACCGGTTCAATTCCCAGCCAGGGCACATGCCAAGGTTGCTGGCCAAGCCCCCAGTAAGGGGGCACATGAGAGGCAACCACACATTGATATTTCTCTCCCTCTCTTTCTACCTCCCTTCCCCTCTGTCTATAAAAATAAATTAAATAAAGTCCAAATGCCCTGGCTGGTGTGGCTCAGTGGAGTGAGCACCAGCCTGAGAACCAAGAGGTTGCCAAGTTGATTCCCACTCAGGGCACATGCTTGGGTTGTAGGCCAAGTCCCCAGTTGGGGGTGAGCAAGAGACAACTGATCTGTGTTTCTCTTGCACATTAATGGTTTTCTCCCTCCCTTTCCCTCTCTCTAAAAGTAAATAAAGTATTTTTTTAAAAAGTCCAAGTTGTACGATAGTTATTGTGCAAAGGCTTAGGACATCAAGAAATAGGATAAAATATGGACAGTAATATCAAGGGGACAGAACTACCCCTTCCTGAAGTAAGATGAAAGGGTTCTACCCAAACACACCTTTTTATAGGTTGTCTCCCCTGAGGAATCAACACTCCTGTGGCCTATTTTCTTCATGGGCATGCCGGAGGCATAAGCCACCTAGAAAAAGAAGAGTCAAGATTAATATATAATTCCCACGTAACATGCCAAATAGCTACCGTGATGGTACGTGAGAACAAAACAAAACATTAACACTCAACAAACCCTTTTTAGGTTATGAACATTTACAAAACCTTCAGAAGACCCACCCCTTGCAAACACACAGCTACAGTGTTGCTTCCCAGTGAATTAACTGGCTGAAAGAACACAGAAGAGAACTCCAAGGGATACCTATTTCATCTTGGGTCCTCAGAATGCTGACACAGAAAGTAAATTTTGAGTATTGTTACAGTAGAAACAGGTACAAGAACACAAAAGCAAGACAGATTACAAGTGGAGTTCCACTGATCCCTTCTTTTTCACCAGCTTCCTTTCAGAAATTACTATCTACCTAACCTTTGACTCAATCTGAATACTAACTGCTTAAACTGAATTCACCTGGAGAAATGATCTCACCACTGACAAATGCTAGTACTGAGAGCCCAGGAATTAAAAGGCTGAGGCAATAAGATGACTCCTCTGAGACAGGTTAGGGGCCTCAGTGCCTTGAGGAGATTCCTGAGAACACAATGTGGCTTTCTTTTCCACCCACATATCAGGCCCTGAAATAAGGAAGTAAAATCAGTAGAGCAGAGCCTAGAAGGCTATTCCCCACAGCCAAAATGCCAGCACAACAGGCAGGAAGGGTATTTTTCATGATGTCAATGCTCATTAAGTTAATGAGCCTGAAGGCAAAAAGACTAGTGAAAATAGGATGTCATGATCTTAGGACCTGATATTACTAAGGCCCTTAGTGCCAGAAAACCCTCTGTATATAACCTCACAAATCCTGGAAGATGTTTTTTAAAAATGAGAAAAGCCTCATCCCAGCTGGTGTGGCTCATTGGACTTAGCACAGGCCTGCGAACCAAAGGGTTGCTGGTTCAATTCCCAGTCAGGACACATGTCTGGGCTGCGGGCCAGGTCCCCAGTAGGAGGCATGCGGGAGGCAACCATATTTTGATGTTTCTCTCCCTCTCTTTCTCCCTTCCCTTCACCTCTCTAAAAAATAAAAAAAAAAATTTTTAAATGAGAAAAGCTTAAAATCCCAGGACAAAAGGGCCCACATTCTGAGGCCCCGTCATAAAACCCAGGAGAGAGGGAAGAAGAAAGAAGAGGGCTGGTAAATACTCTATGGGAAGAAACTTAAGCAAATGGAAAATATTCTGCACAAAAAAGAGAAACTTAGGACATTAGCTTCTGTATGAGTAAAAGAAGTTATTGAAATTCACTGAAGCTGTACCAGAGGCAAAACAATAGAGTAATAGCAAAACAGGAGAGTGGCCTTTAGTATTGGATGGTCTGGGTTTGAATCCCACACTTATCAATCCTGCTTGTTAACTATGTGACTTTGAGCAAATTATAAAACTTGTAATCCTCACTTTCATCTGTTTGTAAGATTAAATAAGAATACCTATGCAGGACACTCAGGAACATTATTTACTCTTGCATCTGGTACATTAAAAATGTACTATAGTAATACCCATAATAAACTGTAAGAGTAGTAGAGTTGTATAATTCCTAGCTTACTAAACAAATGTAAGAACCCTGTCTAGCTCTCAAGGTTCAAGTGGGGGGAAAATAAAGATGTCGTAAACAGGTACCCTTCTATACCAGAATTAAAGTTTTAGAACCACTGTATCAATAACAAACTTACCTCAGATGTCACGGTTCTCTTGGCTCCACGTGCTGTTAAAAAATAAACAAAAACACAATCTTAAGTGTGTACACACACTCAAACATCTCTATCCTGCCACTGAAACAATCAAGGGGTGAGTCAAACCGAGCCTCTTACTCTGTCACATTTGTCAGACTTTAAATGTCCCTTCCCCTTCCTCCTTCATATTCACAGAATCCTTAAGCACATTCCCTTCTTGTTCTAGTCCCTTTTCTTACTCCAGTATTCATATTTTTTCTGGGAAATAGATCTGTTCTTGATATATTTACCCATCAGAGTCAGAAGGTCTCTGATACAATGGCTGAAAGAGAAAGGGCATAAGAAACACCCAACACTAACTGGAAAGTTTGGGGCTTGGTTAATAATTTTTCCTGTAGAACTAAAAGGGTAAGAATGTTGAGAGCATATCTATGGTGTTTCAATCCTTCATTAATAGTATTATAAAAAATGGTAAAGAGACGATCCATGGAGATGAAGAAAGAAGCTAAGGATGAGAAAAATGCAATGTCAACATAAGGAAAAAGCATTCCGTGCAAGCAGAAGCTGATTCTGCATCCCTGCAGCCTCATCTTGATTTCTGCTGCAAACTCAACAGGAACTTGTTGGTATTTATTACTTACTAAAGTAAGTGTGACTTACTAAATATTTAACAAGGGCAGGTATGTAAGGTTAAGTGTGTAGTTAAATCTCATTATTTATGACTTTTATCCATTTACATACATGTAGGACAGATTTCAAGAACAGTGATGTTTAGAAAGTGACTAAAAACCTTTATCTATAGAAAAAATCTCCTCTGAAATGTTGTCAATTCTTAAAGGTTTACCATCCCCGTAACCTTCATCCATGATCACATCAGAGACACATGATCACTCAGGAAGATGACCTTCCTTCCCTTTTCATATTGGAGAATGTTGGCCTTTATCTTCAAAGACTACTGATATAGCACTTCAATTTAGCTCTAAAGAATTTGAAAGGAATAAAGATTAGATATATTGAAGAAAATTTAAAAGTTAAGAGTCCAAATGGGACGAATATGCAATAACAGTAAGTTAGTACCTAAGTAGGAAAACCCCAGCCCACTTATAAGGATTAACAGTGAAGCAGCAACGAAGACACCTGGGATGAAGGGCAAACAGGTAAAGCCCAATTGCAACTGTTAAAGACAAATGGTCAAGCACCCTGAGAATTTCAGAATATAGCTGGGCTTGGATGAGATGCTAGAATAGTACTTAGTAGTACAAAGGCCACAGACCAAGTATTTCTGGTACCCATAAGCAGAGCAGCAAAATTTCCTTCCTCATGGTGAGTCAGGGTGGCAAAAAAATGGGAAACAAGATGGTTTTCATTTTTCCTCCCAAAAAGGAGGAACGGGAAACATTACCTAACTTTTAGGAAGACATGCTGCATAAAATAACCCAGAAAACTGGAAAAACAGCAGAGCCCAATAATCTCCATCTTTGGTAGGATGCTTCATCTTCAAAAAGGTGACTTCAGCTGGGTGAAAGATTAGGCAAATGAGGACAGGAACCCTAAGCTAAAACTGAACGCCTCCGATTACTGACTACTGACTTACTGCAAAATTTAAGGAGTCAACCAACACACACACAAAAAGTACATCCTTTTATATCTTACAACCTTTTAGACAAAAACAAGTCTACATGCTAAGCTATTTAAAAATCAGAAGACCTAGGTTCAAATCCCTGTTATTGTGTTTCAGGCAAATTGTTTTCTATATTTAAGAGAAAAGAAACCAGTATTAGGTTATATAATGATTAGATGAGATAAGCTAAATTCAAAGTACTTTATGAAGTGCTACACAAGTGTTGTCATATGTGATTTCTAATGCAAGAGCAAAGTTGAGGCCACAGCAAGGTTTAATGTTCAATTATCTAGACCTTTATTAAATTCTAATTAGCATCAAGGCCAGTGTAGCTCAGTTGGTTGGAGAATGGTCCGGGAAACTGAAGTCTTGGGTTCGATCCCCCATCAGGGGATGTCTTGGTTTCTGGTTTGGCCCTGATAGGGGCACATACCACAGGCAACAAGAGATCAATGTTTCTGTCTAACATATTTTTCTCTCCTCCTCTCGCCCTCCCTGGCCATGTCTCTAGAATCAATAAGCATGTCCTCAGGTGAGGATTTTTTTTTTTTTAAAGAAAAGCTTTGGCTGGCATGGCTCAGTGGATTAAGTGTGAGCCTTTGAACCAAAAGGTCACTGGTTGGATTCCCAGTGAAGGCTCATGCCTGGGGTGTGGGCCAGGCCCCCAGTTGGGGGCGTGTGAGAGGCCACCACACACTGATGTTTCTCTCCTCCTTTCTCTCTCCCTTCCCCTCCCTCTAAAAATAAATAAATGAAATCTTTAAAAATATATACTATCATTTTTATAATCCATATCCATGATCCACATATATCATCTTTTTGGGTAGGAAAACTGAGTGAGGAGTAGAGTTCCAACATTAACATTTACTTTTTTTTTCAGGAAAAAAAAATCCCAAACACTTTTTCCTGAGGATTTTGGGAAGCTACCTCTCACCTTCTAAGTCAAAACTCTGAAGGATTATTATCAATATGCATACATTATCTTTAGATCACACTAGGAAACGTGGCATGTGCTACAAGAAAGGAGAGTGCATTACTCAACAGTGGGTTATAGAGGCTGACAGCTTAACTATAAATGTTATAAAGTCCTAACCAGCTTCTCCTCATTGGCTCAATTGTAACACATCTCAGCAACAGTTCAATGCAGAATTATTTCTGTTCCCCTCCATTTGCTTATTCAACGACTACTTACTGATTTTCTGTTATATGTCAGGAATTATGCTAGGTACTCTTGGAAGAATTATATGTTCCTGATCAACAGGAGTTCACAATAGTGCTCCTTTGTTCTCCATCACTTGGGCATCTCCAGTTTCCTATTTCACCTTAATCCTGACTATAAGACTAAACTGAGCCCTGGCTGGCATAGCTCAGTGGATTGAGCGCAGGCTGCAAACCAAAGTGTCGCAGGTTCGATTCCCAGTCAGGGCACATGCCTGGGTTGCAGGCCACAGCCCCCAGCAACTGCACATTGATGCTTCTCTCTCTCCCCCTCCCTTCCCTCTCTAAAAATAAATAAATAAAATCTTAAAAAAAAGAAGACTAAACTGAAATGCTGATACTTTTTTAGAAAGACTATTTCTCTCCACTGACCAAACAATGTATGTTTTTACAGCACGTAAAAAGCTTACAAACATTATCTCGTTTGGCCCTCAAAACAATACTACAGGGCATGGGAATTGTTTTAATTAATGACTTAAGAGACATATCCACCAAATACTGTGTCTGAAACTTGTTTAGATGCTCATTAGAAAATAACCTAAAAATTGCCCTGGCTGGTGTGGCTCAGTGGACTGAGCGCCTGGCTTCAACCCAAAGGGTCTCCAGTTTGATTCCAAGTGAGGGTTCACATCTCGAGTGCGGCCAGGCCCCCACTAGGGGGCGTGAGAGGCAACCACACATTGATGTTTCTTTTCCTCTCTTTCTCCCTCCCTTCCCCTCTCTCTAAAAATAAATTTAAAAGATCTTTTTAAATTTTAAAAATAAAAGAAAATAAGCTAAAAACATTTCTGAGACAGAGGCCTTGAGAGAAGAAATTGAATAACCTCTGTTAATTTTGTAGACATGACAATTGTGCTGTGGTAATGTTACAACTCCTTTTCCCCTCTAAATAGAGTCCTCATCTGTAGAAATACTTTCTGAAGTGTTTATGGCTGAAATCACACGAAGGCTAGGTTTGCTTTAGAATATTCCAGGGAGTAAAGGTGGGGGAATGGAGAATAATAGATACAAGATTAGCAAAATATTGCTGAAGCTAGCTGATGATAATGGAGATTCATTACACTATTTTTTATATTTTGTATATGTCTGAAAAATTTTATAATTAAAATTTAGGGAAAAAATACGACCAAAGAAAAGAAAGCAAGTCTAGATAATCAAGTTTATGAGCTAGCGTCTTTCCAAAAGATTTTCTTAGTAAAAGTAAGGCATCCAGGATGAAGTTGTAACAGAGAAACTGTTTTTTTTTTTTGTATACACAAATTTCCCAATTCATGTCCATAGTTTATTTCCTTTATGACTGTGGGACTCCTATTTATTAACAGGCCCTAAACCAAGAAGCACTGTAAACAACTAGCTAGTATTGCTCTACTGGAAGCAAAAAATAAAGCCGCGACCAACAGGCTGCACCGGAAAAAATAATGGTTCAAGTAACTTATTTTTGCGGCTCAGTAGATGGTACAGAGCCATCCAAAGTAATTTGGAGCCCTAATTCCTCTGCAGAAAGAAGAAACTATAAAAGACCCAGAGAACCAACTGTGTAGCCATTTTGAGAATTTTTTTCTATTCTGGCTTGGAGATGCTCAGTCTGACTGAAATCTACAGTTGTTCAAGAAAGTTGATTTTTAAATAGAATAAGTTGAGAATTTAGCTCTTTCAGCCACAAGTGAAGCTACTGGCCCATTTTCAACAACTATGTGTATTATGAAAAAAAAAAAAAGAAATTAACAAGAAATTCAGAAAGGGCCTTTATGATTTTTAGTCTAATCCTGTTTTTTAATAAATAAAAGCACAGAGCATAAGGATGTGCTCAAAGTCAGAGAGCAAAGCTGGTGACAGAGCGAGAACCGGAATCTACATTCCTCACACCCAATTCAAATCTCTTTCTTTCAAATCTTTTGTTTTCATTTCCTGGAAGAAAGCACCAAGGGAACTAGAATGCTTTAACAAATTAAGTCAACCCCAGAATTGCTAATGGACAGTATGAACACCTATTTTCTTCCCTTGGCTATGCCCCCTTCCCTTGGGACAAAGAAATCTATTTTTTTTTTTTATTCACCGGTAGAGGATTAAGAGCCGAGTCCTCCTCCTTCAATTCCTTTCAAGTTGGTTATAACAATAACAACACTGTTCCTCTAACAAGTCATTAATGTCACTGGCAAAAATAGAACATCTCACTTTTTTTTAGTAAGATTATCTTTGTTCTCTACCACACGATGTCGGTATTCTAGAGGAGCAGAAACTGTCTTTCAGGTTCTGATACTTCGAAGAGCAGTTTCAGTTTCACAGATACTATACTCCTCACTAGTAGAAGAAAGCACCATTTTGTCTTTGTGGCAGGGCCTCAGCCACTTTAACAGAGGGGGGAAGAAAGAGCTCCTTTCATCTCAGATTAATTTTCCTTTTGGTGTACAAAGAACCATGACTTGCTCTTATTAAAAGCATAAGGCTTATAATTACTGAATGTGCAATGACAAAAAGAGAGCATCTGGTAAGCAAACTTTTGTTTGTTTAGTTTCAGGGATCATGGAATTTACTTGAAAATCAGTTACCAATCCTTGGCATGAATCCACATTAACTTGTAAAATATTTTCTGAAAGAATGATTAGTAACTCCACATATTATGGCAATAGGAGGTCAGAATTTTGTTGCTTTTTAAAGGAGAGCTAAAGTCAGAATGGTTAAGTTCCCTTCCATATTATTCTCTCCTTCACTGAGGACTACTGGTTCAGTCAGTACCCATTCAACAATAAATACTTAATCTGGTTTAAAGTCAAGTTAGTTTGCACACACACTCTCAGATAAGCGAGGGAGCAATAATGGTATAGTGGGTAGGAATGTGAGATCAGAAATCAGAACGCCTAGGTTTGGTAGGTTTGAATATGAGATCTACCATTTACTCACTGGGTAACCTTGGGCAAGTCTTATTAAAACTCTCAAGACCTTGGTTACTTTATCCATACAGTGGAGAAATAGTAACATGCATCTCATAGGACTGTTATGAAAATTAAATAAGTCATGTATGGCACTTTAACATATAATATATACTCTATAAATACAAGCAATTATCATCATTGTGAATTATGAATTCCATCTAAAAGATGGGAAAAGCCAGGGGAAATAAGAGGTAAAGCAGAGAGGGAAAAGAATTGAGACTCATTTACTAAAACAAAAGAAAATGACGTTATGGGAAGACAAAAAGTTAGGGAGTTGACTGATTCATATTATACCGTGAAACTGTGAGCAAGATACTTCTATGTTAAGATAGCATCTTTTTTTTTTTTTTTAAGATTTCTTTTTATTTATTTATTTTTAGAGAGGAAAGGGAGGGAGAAAGAGAGAAACATCAATGTGCGGTTGCTGGGGGTCATGGCCTGCAACCCAGGCATGTACCCTGACTGGGAATCGAACCTGCGACACTTTGGTTCGCAGCCCGCGCTCAATCCACTGAGCTACACCGGCCAGGGCAAGATAGCATCTTTTTTGGAGAGGGCAAAGGGAAATGGGAGCTTGAATAAGTTATGTTTGTAAGAGACCCAGGGCCTTCTTGGAAGAAGACCATGCACTACTACTGCTACTACAAAAATCTGCAATTGTTATGGGGAAGAGGAGTTGGCTGCTAGTTACTGCAAGCTCACGCTTCTTCTTCTTCAGTACAGATTTGCATCAGATCTACCTCTCTGACTCTTGGACTCACAGCACAGAAAGTTGAAACCTAAATGAGGAAAAACAGAAAAGTTATCACTTAATTCTAGGATTGTATTTACTTACAGCAGACTAAGCTTATCTTTAAAAAAAAAAAAAAAAAACTCTAAAGTTTAAAATTATGAACGTGACCTGGCCTGATTCCCAACACCATACCGTGAAGTGTGAGATAATTTTTTGCAGTTAGTAAAAAAACAAGAGAAGTAGTTCTGGCAGAAAAATTACAGGAGTGGTTACAAAACTTGCAACCCAAATCATTTCTCTAGGGAGTGATTTCAAATTGGCAAAAATATTTTAGGTATAAAAACTCGTTTGCATGCAGGCTTCTAATCTTTTAAGAAAGAATATGTATATGTTTTACTTGAGGCTCTTCCCTCCATTCTTAAAGGGTAATTTGGCAATACATAACAAAGAGTCTTAAAAACTAAAATGTTCAAATTAATCTAAATGTTGGAATTTATCCTATGGAAACAGTCAAGTAGACAAAAATGTGTATACAAAGATATCTAATGCAACACTGTATATAACTATAACTGAATAGATAACATAATTGGAAAAGAATCTAAATGAACAATTGGTAATTGGTGACCTAAACTGTGGTGTAATCATAAAATGGAATCCAGGGATATCCCACCTTTTGGTGTCTCTGGGCCACACGGGAAGAAGAGGAGTTGTCTTGGACCACACATTAAATACACTTCAACATGTAGTCACAAAAAAACCCCTCATAATGTTTTAAGTAAATTTATGATTATTGTGTTGGGCCACATTCAAAGCCATCCTAGGCTGCATGGGACCCGGGGGCTGTGGGTTGGACACCCTAGAATAGCATATAACCATTGTTTTTAGGTATATTTATTCACGGATAGGATGTCACAGTAAGTTGATGGAAAAGGCAAAAAAATTATATAGTACCATAGTTTTGAAAATTATTTATAAATTCATATGTATTTATACACGTAGAAAAGGTCCAGAAAATCATATACCAAAATGTTAAAATATGACTATCATGGATAGTGGGTTAGGTTAATTCCGTAACTTTAAACTTCTATTTTTCCTTACCTACACAAATTTTCTATAACAAATAATTACAGATAATTGAATAATTACTTTATAACCCATTTTTCCTATTAAACCACCACTCAACAGTCCCAGACGTGCAGACGAACATCATTCCACACCCCACATTTTAACTCAAGCTCACTACAAGTATATTATGCTGCTGCAGAGACACACTAGAAGCAAAATATAAAAAGAAAATGCCCTGAATGCTGTTAACAATCCCAAGCTACAAATAAGCATGACTCCCATACACTGTTTCTCTTCTACATATTATTGGGTTTGCCAGAAATTTGTTTTATAAAGTACTTTTTAAAAGATTGATTGGATTGACTGATTGATTTTTAGACAGGGGGAAGAGAGGGAGAAAAAGAGGGAGAGAAACATCACTGTGTGGTTGCCATTTGCATGCCCTCCACAAGGGACCTAGCCCTGACCTGTGCTCAGTCCACTGAGCCACACCAGCCAGGGCATGTCTGTTTGTTTTCTGTAAGATGGCTCTAGTAGCATTTAGCTATCTTTAATGTCATTCAAAACGATTGTTAGGTTGTATTGTTGACAGTTGTCATATCAGCATGCATTAAAAAAAACTTATCCATCTAATTGGTGAATTTTTGTGCAGCCATTTTAATATTAAAGATACAAGAAAATATGCAATATTTTTGGCATATTATGCTTTATTATTTCAAAAAAGGTAAAAATGCAACTGAAACCCAAAAAAAGATTTGTGCAGTGTGTGAAGAAGGTGCTGTGATTGATTGGACGTGTCAAAAATGGTTTGTGAAGTTTCGTGCTGGAGATTTCTTGCTCTGTGGTTGGGTAGACCAGCTGGGTAGACCAGTTGGGGTTGACAGTGATCAAAACAAGACACTGAAAACAATCAACACTATATCACACGGGAGATAGCAGACACTGTCAAAATACACAAATCAGCTCTGGCTGGTGTGGCTCAGTGGACTGAATGCCGGTCTGCAAACCTAAGGGTCACTGGTTTAATTCCCAGTAGGGATGCATGCCTGGGTTGCAGGCCAGGTCCCCAGTTACGGGAATGTGAGAGGCAATCCATCACTTTATCTCTCACACACTGATGTTTCTCTCCCTCTCTTCCCCTCTCCACAAAAGTAAATAAGTATTTTTAAAAATACATAAATCAATAGTTATCAATGAAAATGAAAAATGTCTTTTATTTTACACAAAAAAACAAACTTTTTGGCCAACCCAATACTTTAAAATACCTATTCAACCTGAGACAAACCTATACCAGCATATGTAAGAGATTCTCTCTGAGGTTTATTTTTTTATAGCCTTCAGAATATTAATATTCTCCTATAACACAGGAATACCTAAGTTTAGCTTATCTCCTGGATGACAAGACTAGAAAAATATACAAGACCCAGCCTCTAAATTATGAAACAAGTGGGAAATCTTTAATGTTACCAAAGTAATTTCAAAACAGCTGAACCAGTCTAGTGCCTAAATGGAAACAACTCAATCCTTGCTAAAACACAAAGCTGAATCATCACATGGTGTAAGAAAATTTTTCTGAGTAACCCTGGACTAGACTTAAGGAAGCACCCCATTTTGGCCTTTGGCCTAATCCTAAATTGTGTTTGTGATGAAAAAGGTGCTGGAGGGCCTGGTTTCTAGTCACTAGTCAAAATACCACTGTGACTCTCCATCAATTTGCTTGCTACCACTAAACCCCTGAGAATAAGATTTACTATTGAAAGAAAGGGAGAAAACATGCAGGAAGAGAAAAACCATCAATATGATTCTGAAAAGTGTGAAAAGGCAAAACTATGAGTTGATCTTAAAAGAGATCACTGAAACAAAGTATTTTCATACAGTAAATAGCTCCAAAAAAAGTTATCCCCCCAGTGTGGGGAACAAAACAGAGTTGGCCTTAATACCAGAGCCTCTCCCTACACTTTCAGAGCAGAAGTATTTCCTTTGGAGAGGAAATGACATCATCCACCAGATGACAATTTAAGAGGCAGTGTGTGACTGACTTCAGTGTTTGAAGTACACATATAATTTGGAGACACTAGAGGTTGGCCGGATGTGCATTCCTCAGACAACTGGAATTGTGCCTGAACAGGTCATGGAGAAGCAATCCCAGAGACCCACCCAACTCAACAACCCACCAACACTACTACATAAATTTTGTTAATAATTTCTACGTAGAGCACAAAGAGAGAAACACGCTTTTCGGAAAATGCTAACTCTTAGGGGATATCTTTGTTAGTAAGATTGAGAGCCAGAGGCTTTAAAAGATTTTAAAAAACAAAAAAAGCGAAAGCAAAAACCCACTCAAAACAAACCACAATGAGCCAAGTTGTTTGCTGGACTATCGTTTTTGGGGTTTTTTTATTGTATTTGATTAAGCTGTTAAATTGTCCAAATTTCCCCTTTGCCCCCTTCACTTCCTCAGGCAATCCCCACACCACTGTCCATGCCCACGGGTCATGTATGTGTTCTTTGGCTACTCTAATTCCTATGCTGTACTTTACATCCCCATGACTATGCTTTAACTGCCAATTTGTACTTCTTGATCCCTTCCCTTTTGCCCATTCCCCCAACCCCCCTCCTATCTGGCAACCATTAAAATGTTCTCTGTATCTATGATTCTTTCTGTTCTGCTTCTGTTTTTGTTTTTTAGATTCAACTGTTGATATGTATTTGTTGCCATTTTATTGTTTTTTTCTTTTTTTAAGATTTTATGTTTTTAGAAAGGGGAAGGGTGGGAGAAAGAGGGAAAGAAACATCAATGTATGGTTGCTTCTCGCATGCCCCACTACTGGGGGACCTGACCCAAAACACAGGTATACGCCCTGAATGGGAATCGAACCTGAGACCCTTTGGTTCACAGGCCAGCATTCAATCCACTGAGCCACACCAGCCAGGGCTATATTTTTCATTTTTTCCTCAAAGACGACCCTTTAACATTTCATATAATGCTGGTTTGGTGGTGAGGTACTCGTTTAGCTTTTTCTTGTCTGGGAAGCTCTTTATCTTCAATTCTAAATGATAGCTTTGCTGGGTAGCATAATCTTGGTTGTAAGTCCTTTCTTTTCATCACTTTGAATATTTCTTGCCAGTCCCTTCTAGCTTGCAACATTTCTTTTGAGGAATCAGGTTACCGTTTTATGGGGGTTCCCTTGTAGGCAACTAACCACTTTCCTCTTGCTGCTTTTAAGATCCTCTTTTGCCCTGGCTGGTGTAGCTCAGTGGATTGAGCACAGGCTACAAACCAAAGGGTCACTGGTTCAATTCCCAGTCAGGGTACATGCCTGGGTTGCAGGTCAGATCCCCAGTACAGAGTACACAAGAGGCAACCACACATTAATATTTCTCTCCCTCTCTTACCCTCTGAAAATAAGTAAAATCTTTTTTAAAAATTAAGAAAAATGGGAGGACGACTTCCGGCAAGATGGAGGAATAGGTGGACGCACCGTACCTCCTCGCACAACCAAGATTAGAACAACAATAATTTACAGAAATAATATCACTCAGAACTGTCAGAGGATTTATCTGAATGGAAGTCGGACAGCCAAGAAGTTGGAGTAGACCTGTACACCCAGGCTGGTAGGGGACGACGAGCCGGGCGGGCGCGGGGCTGGCGCGGGTTGGCGGCGCACGGAGGTCGGGGGAAATTTGGCGCAAAATCGACGCGACAGCCATCTAGGGTGCAAGAACACAGCGGTGATCCCTGAGTACGCAAGCAACGGCTAGGGGAATCAGCGGGGCAGCGATTGTGGACCAGGGCAGAGCTCTCAGCTCGGGAGCCCAGGGAAGTGTCTGAGCCCAGGAGAACGGAACTGTCGCCATTGATCCCTCCCATCCCCGCTCCCACATATAACGTCACAATCTAGCTCACAATCTAGCGACTGGGGTGCCCAGCCACGGTGAATACCTAAGGCTCCGCCCCCCACCCTAACAAGAGTGACCAGA